CATGGGGAAACTAGCCCGTATTCCTGCGATACTTACATGTGCATGCTATCAGTCCATCCCTACGCGCTCAGAATCGGGCATAAAGTCGGAGGAGGAGTCGGCCCCAACATTCATCCTCTCCTTCTACCTCCACTGTCGCCAGGATCGAAACTGCATCCGACTATGGGAAACCCCCATCGACTGTTTGTTCACGAGCATCAACAGTTATATCTTTGGATTGATATATATTATTAGCGTAATTTACGATGATATGCATATCTCCTCTATAAAATTGAGACAGATATAATGTGAATTTTCTATTTAGTGACCTTTAATAAGAATTTTAGTAATAAAATATATTGCCTTCATATTTAGAGATCTTGAATTCTAATAGTGCTATTACATAATTATCTTTGATCGTGTCTTCAAGAATTGATCATTCGATAGTAGTCATACCCCTAAATAAAGTCACACGCAGGGTCGTGATACTATATAAGAAAAATAAAAAGGGCGATTTTATTTTTTTTTCTTATGCAGAGTCATGATATAGTAATTTTTCTTTTATCTTTCATGAAGAATGTTTCTTTGATTGGAACAAAGTTTTTCAATATATCCTTCAGGGGGTATTCAGTCGGTGTTTCTTTGATAAATATAACTTATGTTAGTGTTAATTGAAGTGATTCATGGACGTTTCGAATTCCATTTGAAATGAAAACCACTTAATTCTTTTAAAGGGTATCTCTAAATTTTCTAATAGTTCTCCATACATAAATCTTTATAATTTTTTACCCTATAAATATTATTACCATTAGAGATCAATATTTATAAATTATAATAATTTGATGTTAAGCTATTATATTATAGTTTTTATTAGTTTTTTGCGATTTAGTCTTCTATCAATTAATGATACTTATATATTTTTGCTGCTCTAACATGTTGGTCAAATTATATGCAGTTACTTTAATTTATACAATAACATTAATTTTTAATCTATCATATTTTTTTAATTTTTATTCTTTAACTGGATATTTTTAATCTGTTATTATTACTATTTTTTTACCAGTATCAACTTGACTATTTTCAGATTCAGAAAAGGAATAATAAACCTTAAATTATAAATTATATTTATATATCTTAATGAAAAAACATCACACAATTACTCTTTTCTTTGCCAAGTTCTAAATTTTCAGTTTTTATTTTGCATAATTGTAAAGTTTTAAGAGTATTTTGTCTAATTTTTAAAACTTTTTTTTTTGTATTACTTCATGTAGTAAGATGATATTACGGAGTTGTTTCATATATTTTACTAATCTTATTTAAATTGTTGAGCTATAGATATTTCAAGGGGTATTAGGATATAATATAAGTATGATTAGTATAGCTTATAATTTAAATTAAATATTTAACATAGTATAAGATAATTTTGACTATAGAAAGCTTTTTCCGAACTTGTGCTTTTAAAAGGAGTATGTATTTTGTTTTTCTTATTTTTTTCTTTTTTTATAATTTCGAGAATGACTTTTGTCTCTTTAATTTGTTTGGTGACTTTTGTAAATATTCTATCCACATTATGTACATTTGTGGGACTACATTGTTCCCGGGTTCGACCTTTAGGGTAGACATTATTTGTCTCATTAATTTATTTAGTTTTTACATATACGCCCTTCATTTTGTAGATATTTGTAAATTTGGCATTTAATAATTTTATTTAGACTTGCATTTCAATTTAAACTGTATCATTATCTTCATACTATGTATATCCAATAATAATTCATCAATTTAACAACTTACTCTTACTTAATGGAATAATATTTGAATTCTAAGGGTATTTGTATCTACTGAAAAAAATTTCCGAACTCGTGCTTTTAAAGTGAAGTATGATATTTATATATCTTAATGAAAAAACATCACACAATTACTCTTTTCTTTGCTAAGTTCTAAATTTTCAGTTTTTATTTTGTGTAATTGTAAAGTTTTGAGAGTATTTTTTCTAATTTTAAAATTTTTTATTTTTTTTGTAATACTTCATGTAATAAACTGATACTACGGAGCTGTTTCATATATTTTATTAATCTTATTTAAATTGTTGAGCTATAGATATTTCAAGAGGTATTAGGATAGGATATAAGTATGATTAGTATAGATTATAATTTAAATTAAATATTTAAAATAGTACAAGGTAATTTTGACTATAGAAAGTTTTTTCCGAACTTGTGCTTTTAAAGGGAGTATGGTTTTTGTTTTTCTTAATTTTTTTTTATAATTTTGAAAATGACTTTTGTCTCTTTAATTTGTTTGGTGACTTTTGTAAATATTCTATCCACAATATGTACATTTGTAGGACTACGTTGTTCCCATGTTCGGCCTTTAGGGTAGACATTATTTGTCTCATTAATTTATTTAGTTTTTGCATATACGCCTTTCATTTTGTAGATATTTGTAAATTTGGCATTTAATAATTTTTATTTAGATTTGCATTTTAATTTAAACTGTATCCTTATCTTCATACTATGTATATCCAATAACAATTTAACAATTTATCAATTTACTCTTACTTAATGGAATAATATTTGAATTCTAAAGATTTTTTTGTCTACCGAAAGATTTTCCCAAACTCGTGCTTTTAAAGTGAAGTATGATATGAAAAGGGTGATCAACATATTTTTATATTTTTACAGCTAATATTTGTGGAATATTCTATTCCAATGAAAATTTGAAATTGTTACCCTACTTTTTGCACTTAGACAAAACTATATAATTCAATTATGTTCGCTCTATTTTCTTATTTTTCATTTATATTGTATAATAATTATCAACAATGGATGTCACTACAAACGTAATGTGGGCAATGGACGGGTAAGAATATTTTCACTCTATTTTCTACTTTTAAAAATAATTTATTTGCAAACAAACACTATATTGCAATAATGCACTTGCATGCTAGGAATGCACTTTGGCATTGATAAAAATTTATTTTCGTACTTTCATATGAACTGTCAGACTGTTAAAAAAAATTCCCCTTACTCCGGTTATTGATGCGGGGATACGAGCGATACAATCCTCAATTTCCTAGCTAGTTGGATTCAAGGCATGAGAGGATGACTGTCATATCCTCTTAGTTTTAGTTCAGCCATCCCCCTCCCCCACTCTCTTCTCTATCCCCACCTACTATAAGATTGCATTGTATATAGTCTTTACTTGTTAACAAAATAAAATTATTATAAGATTTCCACTCTAATGTTCTTTAAAATTATATGTTTATATTAATTTTTTTTAAGGATTAACTCTTAACTCAAATTCTATATGCGATAAAACCACGAGGCAAAGTTGTTTTCATGTATTTCTTGAACTAATCATTTTCTTAGTATGAAGCACCATCTCGTATATCTAGGATTGGATTATCCCAACATACCAGATGTATATATGTTGTTAAAGATTTTCAGATAATGTGGAAATATTTTGTATTTTTTTATGAATAAATAACGGTTCGCTTAAATTTTGCATGTAAATCTTCATATGATAGTCTATTCCAAAATCCAGACAGATTTTTATGTTCAAAAGTTTTTCACATAAAGTTAGCAAGGTACCCCCTCCATCTTAGATCATATTGTTTTAAGAAACCCATTGCGAAATAAGTTTTTTCCCTTTGATATAACCCTCATGAAATAAGTCTAATAGAAAATCTTTTTACATACGACATTTAATGAATTCAATATTTTTTACGATAAGTTTGTTGCTCGTGCATTTCAACATATATTATGTATCTAGGTACTGAAAGAGGAAGAGAAAAAGAAATCGAAGTTTCAAAGGTTTTTTCTTAAAAGCGCCTCTTTTGTAAAATTACAAAAAAAAATTACTAGAAGAAGAATTCAAAGAAATTACTGTGTGTGGATCCCTAAGAGCAAAAGTCCACGTACACATGAGAACAATAAAATAACTATCAATTTCATTAACGATCAAAGAAAGTACGAGCTTCATGGGGGTTAAAAGCGATTTTCAAAAACAAAAATACAGATATTGAGGGTTCGAGTTGTTTTTACCCTTTTTATATGCAAATAATAATTGATCTGACCACAAGAATCCAAATACTAACTCTTAAAACCTAACCGTGCTTGTCGCCCGTGATGGGCTCTAGCATGATTAAGAGAGGTAAGATCTACCGAATTAGCACACAATTTAATAAATATATTATCAGTTACGCCTCGTTTGGTACGCGAAAATGTGGTGGAATGTAATGGTCATTCTCACTTTTCATTCCTCGATATCAAACGTACCTATTTTTAGAAGTTGGAATGACCATTCCCACTTTTTGTGGGAATGAGCATTCCAAGTGAATTGATAATGAATGACCATTTCCATTCAAATGAGAATCAAATTAGTTACGTAATTTTTAATTATCCCCCTATTGATAATTTATCAAATGAGTTACTTTTGATATCTAGAACTGTGGATTGTGGATATCATTCTTTATATTATTTTTGGACCTATGAAAGATATAATACTCTTTTATTTATTTTTCTTTATTTTTTTAAGACTAAGAAACAGTGAGTATTGTTTAAAAAATAAAAACGGAACATACACCAGAGGGATAACATGTGCATTAGTATAAAACATAGCTAGATTAATATAACCTATGCATAAAAAAATTGATTAGTTATTATCATTAATGTTTATTTTTATCTTATTAAAAATCTATGTTGTTGTAAGGACACTATTAAAAAATAAGATTTAATTCCCACTTGTGAACTAGTGATACCAAACATGAGAACGTGAATGGGATTTTCATTCTAGCTTCATTCTACGAACACAACCAAACAAGAGAATGAGAATGATCATTCCATTCCAACATACATTCTAATACATTACTTCTTCCATTCCATTCTTATTTTAGTTTATTCCCGCGTACCAACCAAGATTTTAGTTAATTAATTATGATTTAAATGTTGAACCACAGCCCAGGGGGTGGGCACCACCAAACCTAGACCTCTCTCCTCTCAGGCGTAGGCGGGAGTGGGGGTCCCCCGTTTGATTTCGCCCCCTCCCTCCATTAAAAAAAAATCCATAGCAATGGCGTCGGAGGGAATTCTTTTGGGAATGGGGAACCCCCTCCTCGACATCTCCGCCGTCGTCGACGAGGATTTCCTCAACAAGTATCATTCTCTCTCTCTCTAGATCTCCTTCTCTAATGCTTTCATTCTCGCTGTAGCCATCGATTTCTGAATGTCTTTTCTCAGATCTGCACGGGTTTACTGCTGCTAGGTTAGCCATAGATCTCGTTCTCACGTCGTGTTTTTTTTTTTTTTGGTTGTGATCCCGAGCGATTTTGGAATTAATTTAGCTGTAGATCTCGCTTTCTCATCGAATTTTAGTGGTAGATGATAGATCTCAGTTCGTAGCGCGTAGATCAGACCTGCTAATGTTGATATGAGTAGTTTGTTGAGGTTTTAGGTTATATTTCGGACTGCGGAGTGCGGACGCAGAGATCTGATTTTATTTGAAGAAAGGGGTCTTTTTTCCCCTCTCTCTTTAACATTTCCTCAGTCGTTGGATCTGTGCTCCTAGTTTCAGTAGATCTGCATACATCTTTTGGGGGTTCACGGAGGATCCAACTCAATGGTAGGGTAGACTGATCGAGCGAGTCGTTATATTTGCATAGTTCCTCCTATAATCTGCTGTTTGTTAGTATTCATTTGTGATAAAGTCGTACAAGTTAGATTTGTGGTTTCAGAGACGCAGATCAGTCGCCTTTTCCGCATATGTTAGTTATACTTCTCGATTATTCTAGCATGGAGATACATGAGAGCATAGTTTGTTTGGGGAACGAAATGCATTGTTTCTTCTATTTGTAGTTGATGGGGTCGCTACTTGTTTTGTTTGCAAACTGCGTTCATGAATTCATAAAGATCACAGTTAATTCTATTTCAAACTCACCTGATCTTTTTTACTACATTTATGGCCTGTTTGGGGTTTAGAGAATGGACTTGACTGTTGAAGTTTGATGAGATTGATATATTCGTCTGTGAAACCCCCTCGCTGATGTGAATGAAAAACTCTAGCATTCTTGGTCAATTTGATTTTTTAATTTTCTTTTGCTTGCCATTTCTTATGGTGTCTATTGGCAAAAAGGAGAGAAAGTCGAAACGCATTTCAGATATTTGAAATAATTCACTTTCACGTAGCAAGCTTCATTTTCTCCTTCTTTTTATGCTAAATATTTTGCACAAATGAATGTGCTATGATTGGAATTCATCAGAATGTTGCGTGTTGTGTGTAAAACAAGATTTGGAAATGTTATTGTATGATAGCCTAATGTATTAGATTTTAAGCGTGCCATCTGATCCATTCATAACTTGGCGTTGCCCCTCCCCTATTAGCAGAGCACAGTTAAATTCATTCTAATATTGGCTAACAACATAATATATTAGGAGATCTGATGTTTGAAGTACCAAAAACTGATTTGATATTGTTAACTTGGGCAAAGATTAAAAAGTAATATCAACAAAGAGAAAACTTATGGTTTGATTAATATTCCATTTACTGACATATCACATATGAAGCTTCAAAAACTCCAATATTCCCAATATTCGTGCCGACAAAGGCAAACGTCAGGATCGAGATGAAAAGAAGATTTCTAACCAAAAATAAAATTTGCATGTCACCGTCCCATAACATCTATAGATATTTTCTTTTGCATATCATTCATCTTCGATCATAGCAATGTGCAACTTGTTTTTACATGATAAAATATGAATATCAATTTGTATTGTTGCGGTGACTTATTTTCTTGCTTCTTACCAGATATGACATCAAGCTGAACAATGCCATTCTCGCAGAGGACAAGCATGTGCCCATGTAAGTTTTTCAATATCTCCCAGAAACCTTTTTTGGTTTATTCTTTTAAGTAGTGCAAGTGAAAAAAAAATTGGTACATCTTGTTTTCTTTTGTTTCTCTTTTCTTCGAACATATATAGCATCTGCATAAGGAATCATATTGAATATCTAACTTTATATATCTGTTCTGCACTGTTTAGGGGTTAAACATGCATTCATACAGTTTTATATTTATATGGAGATATGTAAGCCTGTCTATCAGTTTTACTGCAAGTTGCATTGACCATCTTGTTGTTAACAAAACGTTGACGTTTTTTCTGTGCCTTCTTCTAGGTATGAAGAAATGGCTTCAAAGTACAGTGTGGAGTATATTGCTGGAGGTAAAATTTTGGTTTAAACAATCATTATGACACAAGCTTAATTCAATTTTAAATTATGTGATAACATTCGGCCATATATTATGTTAACCTCTTCAGGGGCTACACAAAATGCAATCAGGGTTGCCCAGGTATATTTAACATATGAATGTGAATCTCCTCTCTTCAGGGGCTACACAAAATGCAATCAGGGTTGCCCAGGTATATTTAACATATGAATGTGAATCTCCTGTATTTTATGAAGCTTTGTCGACTTAATAGGGTTGCCCAGGTATATTTAACATATGAATGTGAATCTCCTGTATTTTATGAAGCTTTGTCGACTTAATAGTTTTTTCTGATGTCATATTCAATTTTGCAGTGGATGCTTCAAACTCCTGGTGCAACTAGCTTTATGGGTTGCATTGGAAAGGACAAGTTTGGTGAAGAAATGAAGAGAGCCTCAACAGCTGCTGGTGTCAATGTAAGTTGATTTGTTCATTCCATTTTGCTTTCATGTTGACTTTTTTTTGGCCAAGTTAAATAAAATCTACTATGATAATCACACAGGTTCACTATCGTGAGGATGAGACTGCTGCAACCGGTACATGTGCTGTCTGTGTTGTTGGAGGTGAAAGGTAGAGATTCATCGCATATCTTCTCTATCATATGTGAATACTAGTCTCCCAGGAATGTGCTGTGCACATTCAAGAGAAAGGACTGGAATATTCATTATGGAGTACAATTATCTTTTATGATTGAAAGTATTTTTTCTTCAAGAAAAAAATGGTTTTATCTGTCAGAGAGTATGATAGGGAATTTAGCTTAAATTATTGTTCATAAAGAAAAAAAATCTCAGGTAGCACATAACGATTTAAATTTCTTGGAAGTTCAGCTTTATCAATGTTTTTATAAATCGAGGTAGCTAAGAGGTTATCTACAAACAAGATAAAATAAGGCGATAAAAGAAGATATTTTTTACTAATTTGTGTTAATCTCCTATGTAACCATATTCATTTCTGGCGTGTTTCAATTTTAGGGTATTCACTTGTTGCAGTTGGTTATTGCATTATGCTTGTTGTCATGATGTCTTATCAGTGTTGTTCTTTTGTTGATGAACAGGTCCTTGATTGCTAACTTATCTGCAGCGAATTGTTACAAGCCTGACCATTTGAAAAAACCAGAGAACTGGGGACTAGGTAATTTCTTTTCTTGTGCTCCTCATTGTCAAAACCTCTTTCTAACTAATATATGTATTGCAAAGCTTGTCTCCATTTGGCATATTCGCGAAGTACTTGATTGATTTACTTTACTAGGTGGTTTCAAGACCGTTAGGATGTAAGCAGAAAGAAATAGAGATGCATATTGGCATCATGGTTTGTGTGAGAACCAATTGATATTTAATTATTGCTTTAGGTTGTAAACCCTTAAAAGGAAAAAAGAAATGGATATGTATGAACAATGAAATTCATCATTGTTCATCTCAACTGGAAGAATGTCTTCTATTGCATGTAAATTTGGAACTGAGATGTTCCTAGCATGATGATTGCCTTTAGTTTTCTAGCAGTTCTTGAAGTAGCCTTCCGTCTTCGTATTGCCTTTTCAATTAGATGGAAATTCACACTTTAAATTGCAGTTATTTTTTAGAACTAATATTGCATGTTTTTGGTCTTAAGTGCTTTCCTAGAGCTTTCACCTGTCATTGAGTGAGCAATGTAGGTGAATCATGAACACATTGGCAAATTCCTTCATGTTCATTGACGGCTCTAGCCTATTTGCCTCTCAGCCCTTGCCCACTGTTAAAGATGGAGCTGGATGTTGAGAAGTCCTAGTTCTTATTCAGGCAATAGCCTTGTCCCCAGGAAAATAATATTGGAAAATAACTGTCTAGCTGAACTATGCAGAAAAAATCTGCCTCACTTAGTTGCTTCACCACTTCAAAATTGCCAGATTCACCACTTTCTTTGTGTGGATGCTAACTAAATCAGCTGCAGATGGATAACACTGCCTTTATCATTTTTGTTTAGAGATTATGGTGCAAAACAATATTTTACAATACTGGTCTTTTCTTTGATGATAAGGCCAATTGAACCCAACTAACTGCAGAATCTTACTGTTATAGTTTTTTATTATTTAAAATCATCTTTCTGGATGTCAAACATTTATAGGGCAGTAAACTCTTTGCAAGATAAAAATCTCCACATTCTAAATCTTTAATTCCGAAACTTTTATTTCATTAATACCATTACCAATAAACTAATACTTTCCTATGTTTGCTTGAAAGTTGTTTCTCCAGTCTTTTTTTATGCATGTCTACCTGTTGCGTGTTGACAATGAAGGAGCACACTTTATTTAGATTTTTGTTTTACTTTGAAACTAAACTATATTTTGGACCTAACAAATTATTCTAATACATTTCTGGCAGTTGAAAAGGCAAAGTATATCTATATTGCCGGTTTCTTCCTCACGGTCTCTCCTGAATCTATCTTGCTTGTCGCTGAGCATGCAGCTGCAAACAACAAGGTGTTCATGATGAATCTCTCTGCACCTTTCATTTGTGAGTTCTTCAAAGATGCCCAAGAGAAGGTTTTACCGTAAGTTTTTGCTGCTTCTTTCTTTTTACATAAGGAGCAATTTGAAACCAGATTAGGCTTTAGATTGGGGCCGGAGTCTTAACTGTGTACATCTTCATATTACCCCTGGAATTCCGGGTCTTAATGGCAAGTTCTCTCAAAATTTGTAATTTTAAAAATCTGCTTTTTGTTTGTGGGTGGGTGGATGCTCGTGAATGCAGATGCATCATTAGATTGAGTAGGTTTGATTTACTTGTTTATGATGCCTTTTATTTCATTCTTGCGAACTAGAAGCTATTTACGCGTTCGTGATGTACTAATGAAGTGATAATAAACATTGATAAGGTCTTATCATTTGGTCAGAGACATTTGTAGTGCTTCCCAGTATAATATCTTTTCTTTTAACCACACTCAGGTACTGTAGCTATATTTTTGGGAATGAAACTGAAGCACAGACCTTCGCCAAAGTCCATGGTTGGGAGGTAACTTTCTTCAGAATTCTGGTATACGGCTACTGCTTTTATCATGTGAATTTTTTTTGGCTGATGAGTTACTTGTGGTTTCTAGACTGAGAATGTTGAGGAGATTGCATTAAAGATCTCAGAATTACCCAAGGCACCAGGACTACCCAAGAGAACCGTCGTTATCACTCAAGGTGCTGATCCTGTTGTTGTCGCTGAGGATGGGAAGGTTAGCTTTTTCTGCGTTGATTTTCAATAATGTTATTGCTAAAGCAAAACCATTTACTGTCAAGTAGACTAGTTTTTTGTTGCGACAAAATGTAACATTTATTGATTGCACAAAGAAACCATGTGTATTGTTATGGTGCTTGGTTTGCTTTTTCTTATGCTGTACTTGTGGCAACAGGTGAAAACTTTTCCAGTCATTTTGTTGCCAAAGGAGAAGCTGGTTGACACAAATGGCGCAGGTACTATAATAATAATTGTGGATAGAACTTATGCTGCTTCTCCAATATTTTGGCTATTATATATACCTCAAATCTTTTCATTATTAATTTTTTGTTTTTACCCTGCTGAGTAGGTGATGCATTTGTGGGGGGATTCCTCTCTCAGTTGGTTCAAGGGAAGAGCATAGAGGACTGTGTTAGGGCTGGCTGTTATGCAGCAAATGTCATTATTCAGAGGTCAGGCTGCACTTACCCTGAGAAGCCTGATTTTCAGTGAATTTTTTTTTTTTTTTTTGCGTCGTGGTACTAAATAATAGGAATGAGCGCACATCAAAGCAAGTCTAGGCCTCCATCCTTTTTCCTTGTTTTTTATGTTTCCATTGGGTATTGTCATTATTATTCTTGCTTGTCACCATGATGATGTGGTGAAGGCAACATGCTATTTTGTAGTTTGAACGTCTGAGCAATATTTGTAACGGTGAATTTTAAGTGAGGTTGCTTCTATTTTATGCTCTTTTGTTTTCAAGGTAATGCCATTTGATATGAAGTTCCTTTACGCCATCGAGGACCTGAACATGTTTTTGTAAGATTTTTGTTACGCGGTTGAGAACTAAACATGTTTCTGTAAGATTTTTTTCGTCTGCAAAATCAATGAAAACCTAAGCATGGCAAATCTTAATGTGCTGAGGATGTGCTCAATATTGCTGGTTCCAGGGAATCTTGACGTTAGATCACACTGCAGGGTTTTTGTTTCGCGTAGTCGTCGTAATGCTGCATGCTAATTTAATTTCTGTATTGATATGTCACATGGAGCTCTCATTCCAGGATGTTCTTGTTAGCTAGCCATGGGCATTCCTCAATCTAATGCATGCATCTTTATTTTCTTTCTTCTTTTGAGGTATAATACCAGTTTTAGTGGAGACAATATGACTCTATGCGCTTAGCTCTTGTTAGGCAAATGAAAAAGTTTGGGGGGAAAAGTTCTTTTGAGGTCCACTGTTGCTTAATAACTAGGCTAAAAATAAAGTAACTCCCACTTGGTTGGTTCATAAGAGAGCCGTTTCAAATAGAGTCTAGTCTACAAATTAGCCAAACTAGGTTTTAGTTGGAACTAGTTCAATAAAGTCTTGTCTAGCTTAACAAAGTCATCTATAACTGGTTCACTGAAGTCTTGTTTAACAAAACTAGTTCAATAAAGTAGTCTACAAATTAGCCGAACTAAGTTTTAAGTTATTCCTAGGCAAAGCGGTCTCAATAAAGTCTATATTACTTTTTAAGAACAATTTTTCAAAACCGACTGAATTTTTTTTTTTTTTTCAAAACCGACTGTTTTTTTTTTTATTTATCAAAATCGACCCGGTTTTGTGATTAGCAGGCTAATCACTATCCTAAATAGTCGGGGTTGGCAACCCCGACTATTTAGGATAGTGATTAACCTGCTAATCACCCTTTAATTAGGGTTTAACACCCTCCTAAATAGTCGGGGTTGCCAACCCCGACTATTTAGGATAGTGATTAGCAGCCTAATCACAAAACCGGGTCGATTTTGATAAATAAAAAAAAAACAGTCGGTTTTGAAAAAAAAAAAAAAAAATCAGTCCGTTTTGAAAAATTGTTCTACTTTTTAAACTTGCTAAACACACCCTGATATTACAAATACGTAAAGATTATCACAGGCTGGTTTCTTCTATAAATCGGTATCTTTTTTGAAGTCATCTATTAAGTAGCTTCCTCTTGATAGCTAGAAGTAGGTAAATTACACGAACCCCCATGACCTTTTTTAGTGTTTTCATGTGGAACCCCCCATAACCTTTCAAAATTACACTAAACACCCGATAACTTTTGCAGAAAACACCATGAACTCTTAGGTAAATTACACTAAACTCCCATGAACTTTCATATTTTTGCAGTAAACCCCCGTAAGCCTTTTGGAATTGTAGAGCACCCCCCATAAACTTTGTGAGTTCTGTAGATAACCATCATAAATTAGAAGAAGGAAAAAAAAAGCAGCATAAAAAGGCATTTACCCTTAATAGCACGTGTGTATTAATGTCAACTGCTGTTAATTACTTGAGAGGGGCTGCGTACGGACAAACAGTCCCTACAGTTGATCATCATTTATTAAGAGAGCAGAGAAGCAGAGGCGTTGCGGGTATAACAGGTGGGCTTCAGCCTTTTAAGGAGATGTTAATTCTGAAACGCCATTTTGTTGTTGGGCTTCAAGACTCGATGCAGTTTATGGGCCATTGGGCTTAAGCACAACTCTACGAATTGCTCAAGTGTTACAGAACTTATCTATGCCAACGAAATCATGAACATATATAAATATAGGATAAAGGATGATATTGCGGCATATAAAGATTTAAAAAAAAATCAAACATACAAATTCTTTATGTTACGCCAGTCAAATAATTTTTTTCTGTATTGTAAAAATAATAATAAATATAAGACATTTATGAATATATTATTATACACTCACAAATAAATTCATAGTCCATACTAGAAAACTAATTATACTATCAATACAAATCATATTAAAAAAACAAAACCAATCAGCATGTATTTATACATGTTCCAGAATTCTCTCGTAAAAAAGTCACTATTGGCGATGGGTCATCAGAGATGAGAGACAAAGCATTGGCGACAGAACAATAACCCATCGCCAACGTTTGGCGTCACAACAACAGTACATCCAGAGAGAACATAATCTAAAGAGCCTTTAAGGTTCATCGCTCTTTTCTAAAAAGTAGGGTTGAAAACAAATCGAATCTGATTGATTATCTTTACATTCAAATTCAAATTGGAATTCTATTTGCGCTGTCGTCGAATCTGTGTTGAATAGGTAGAAGTGTTCAAATTCAATTTGATTAATTAAATAAATATTTGATAAATATTAATGAATACTTACTAGCACACTTGATTGAGGCATTTGGCTTTTTGGCTTGAGGTCATGGGTTTGAATCCCATGTTGATAATTTATTTGTTTTATTTTATTTTTTCATTTTGCATAACTACATGATGATGTTAGAACTCAAGAATTGATTCAAAGGAATACTGGAAGGGATTCATTTATTGATAGCAAACGAAGGCTATATATAGCCAGTACAAAATAACTAAGAAAGTAAATAGCTAACCACATCTAACAACCCTATAATGTGGTGATACGAATCAAAACAGTAAACAAACTGATAATAACAAATAACGACTAATTAAACAAACTGATAATAACAAATAACAACTAATTCTATCATTCCCTCCCTTAAACTAATGCATCTTAGCTTTCTTCTGTAACTTCAGTCACTCCCAGCATGTTGCGAAGCTTCTCAAACTGCTCTAACTTCAATGGCTTCGTCATAATATCTGCAATTTGTTCCTGAGTGTTACAGTAGCTTAGTTTGATGACTCCATCATTCACCAGGTCTCTAAGAAAGTGAAATCGTACATCAATATGCTTGCTCTTGCCATGGAACACCGGATTCTTTGATAACTGTATGGTAGAGCTGTTATCACACATAATCATTGTACTCGTCTTCTCTTCAATTCCAAGCTTCTCCAAGATCCTTCTGAGCCAAACACACTGACAGCTACACACCGCTGCAGCTATATACTGTGCCTCCGTAGTAGAGAGAGCAACAACAGGTTGTTTCTTTGATGACCACGAAACAGCTCCAGCTCCCAACATAAATACAGATCCAGATGTACTTTTTTGATCATCCAAGTCTCCAGCATAATCACTGTCCGTAAATGCCAAAAGTTTCAAGCTGCTCTCCCTTTTCTTGTAGAGAATTCCATGATCTGTTGTACCCTTTAGGTACCTCAAAATTCTCTTTGTTGCGAGCCAATGTGCCATAGTAGGACTTGACATAAACCTGCTTATTAAGCTAACACCATACATTAAGTCAGGCCTAGTTGCAGTCAAATACATGAGACTGCCAACCACTTGTTTGAATAGAGTTTCATCAACTCTAACTCCATTCTCATCTTTGCACAACTTAGTACCTGGCACTATTGGATTCTTTACTGCATTGCTATTTTCCATGCCAAACCTTGCTAATACTTCTCGTGCATACCTTTTCTGGCATATGAAGATTCCATCTGCACACTGTTTAACTTCTATCCCCAGGAAATATTTCATTTTCCCCAAATCAGACATGTCAAATTCTGACATCATTGAAGCTTTAAACTCATCACACATGCTTCTATCATTCCCAGTAAAAATCAAATCATCAACATATAGACTGACTACCAAAATTTTACCTCCTTTTGTCTTGGTGAACAAGGTGTGCTCACTGGGACATCTTTCAAATCCTTCATGAAGAAAATAGGCCTCAATTCTGCTGTACCAGGCTCGTGGTGCCTGTTTCAATCCGTAGAGTGCTCTCTTCAGCTTATAGACTTTCTCTTCTTCTCCCCTTTTAACAAATCCCTCAGGTTGCTGCACAAACACTTCCTCCTTGAGTTCCCCGTGAAGAAAGGCACTCTTCACATTGAGTTGAAAGACCTCCCAACTGAACTGAGCAGCCATTGAAAGTATCACACGGATGGTGTCGAGCCTTGCTACTGGAGCAAATACTTCAGTATAATCTACTCCATGACGTTGTGCATACCCTTTTGCCACCAACCTTGCTTTGAATTTCTCTATTTCTCCAACTTCATTACGCTTAGTCTTGAACACCCATTTAACTCCAATAGGCTTGACTCCTTTAGGCAACGTTGTAAGCTCACAGGTTTGATTCTTTTCTATGGCTTCGATTTCTGCTGACATTGCTTCCCTCCATTTCTTGCTTTCATTTGCTTCTCCAAATGTAACTGGATCAGTTACCACCATCATCACATTGAGGTTCTCTTCCTCTGAAATTCCTGCCCCTGTTTCACAGTCTGCCATCCAACCTGGTGCTCTTCTTTCTCGTGCTCCCCTCCCTTCAGCTAATTCTCCAGCTACATCAAGCCCCTCAGGTGTACTCGAATCTTGATCAGAATTTGGCTCATTTGAAGGCGTCTCCATTGGACTACTGCTTGAGTTGCTGCTTGAGGGTATCTCATCATTTTCTTCCTCAATCTGATCATCACTTTCATCTTCATCACCCCATTCTAGTATGTCTCCCTTGATTTCATCGTCTGTTCTGTCCCAGTCCCAACTTTCTTCTTCTTCAAAAATTACATCCCTGCTGATGATAATTTTCTTTGAGACTGGATCACATAATCTCCATGCTTTTGATTCTTCGCTGACTCCTAGAAAGACACATTTTTTGCTCTTATCATCCAACTTGCTCCTTTTTTGATCCGGTACATGGACATGTGCTACACAACCAAAAATTCGAAAATACTCCACCACTGGTTTCTTACCACTCCATGCCTCTTCTGGGGTTGTATTTTGAACTGCTGTTGTTGGACATCGATTTTGAATGTGCACACACCATCTTACAGCATCAGGCCAGAAGGTTTTGGGAACCTTTTTCTCACTTAGCATGGATCGGATTGCATTCATGATTGTCCTGTTCTTCCTCTCGGAAACCCCGTTCTGCTGAGGGGTATAGGCTGCTGTCAACTGTCTAC